TTGCAAGCAGACGTCTCATACCGAGCAACTCATGTTGGGGTTTATGTGAGGAAACAGAAGCTTTTACTCATCTAAAATGGGGGGGAGTATATCAAGTTTTAGCCCATAAGGAATGTATAACTTACTAAAACTTGAGAATGCACTTTGATTAGTTATTGACCAAAACAAAACCCATCTTTTTGTTCATAGATATTTCTGCCTTTTAAATTAAGTTCAATCCAGTTAAATTCAAATCTTTGGATAAAGAATGAGTCTATTTCTGGTCCTTTCTAGTCTGTCTCACCATCACAATCCAAACTTTCCCTCAGACTCATCTGTGGAACTAACAATTCTTTAATAGAATTCCTCTTCAATACAATTCTTGATGAGATTGCAAATGTTATGCACTGACTTAAAGTTGAGTCGGATCACTTGGTAGACAGAGGATAAGCTGACAACAAAGTGCACAGTTTGAGCTTTAGTATTGGTCTTTTACTATGATTTGTTTCACGTGCAGATAGAACTTGTGACTTCTTTGTTGGAACCCACTTACATCTCGTAACTATTCCCCACGTCTCTATGGGCAACAAAATGACTGCGTGAAGTCTGAAGCAGCACACTGAGTTTATCGCCCTTAGAAAAGTCAACCTCTAACAGCTGGTATGGCCTAACCTTAACCAAAGCAAAGCTGGCATTCACTTACAGTCATGAAGCTTTTTTTAAGGTACAGGAATAGCAGACATAAGTATTCCAATGAAGAGTTTTAGATTGTTAGCTTTATTTAAATTACAAAATATTTCTGTTTGCTGTATGAAAACATTATTATAAACAAAGCAGGTGTCAGATAGGGAGAAAATCCTCTGAAGTAGTGCTTGAATATGTAACTATTTATGGCCTAAAGAAGGCTGATTTGCTCCTTAAGGCACGTAAAGAATTTAGTACCTTGAAACTATTAGAGATTACTTGTATTTAGGGGGTAAAAATCAGTCTAGTCATAATTGTGGTCAGATCATGTTTTCACGAACTAATGACCTCTTTGATAACAATCCAAATGTGTCGCAAAGTGATTTAGCAAAAACGCATGTTACATGGTTTATGAAGTTCTGCAATGATGCGTTGTCTTACTTTTGTATTACTACATTAAATACAGGGGGGGTTCCTCATCTGTGTTTGAAAGATTGCATATATTTTGGGTTTGGATAGGACTTAGAATAGTGTTTAGTTGTGGGGTTGTTTGTGGTTTTTTTTTATTATTTTTGGGTTGTTGTGTTTTGTTTTTTTTTAAAAAGGACTACCAAGATGTATGGAATTCTGTTTCCTACTTTATAATTGTATGGATGCTTTTGGTTACTTTGGATTCCTTTGTTTCTCTGGGTCAAACTTTCTGTTTTCAGCCTCGCATCTCAGACCGCATGGCTGTCTCGTTTGTGCTTTATCACTGACTTCTGCTTCCAATGTACTTTGCTGACACTCAGTTGCTACCACTTTCACCAAACTGCTGCCTGGAAATGAACTGGGGATCTTTATTCTTTGTAGGCAAGCACCACTCCAGCCATGGCTGAGTGATGTTGTTGTTGAAGTAGTGATGCAGAAAGAACAGTTTACTCCCCAAGTCTCTGCCCATTCTGCCTGTGGATATGGACTTTCTTTTTCCCCCACAGGTTTCTCCTTAAAACCAGGTGATGGGCAGCAGTTATGCAGAGAGTTGAAAGGCTTTGATTGCTTACTGATTAGAGGAGAATCCTGCAAGAATGACATCTATAAAGAAAGCAAATGAGGAATGCTCTTCTTGTCACAAACTGGAAGAGAAACAAGAACGTAGTGAACTAAGCAATGACAATGGTACCTCTGAATTTTGTTTGCATGTGTATAAGAGACAGGCGTTGAGTTAGTAACATGACAGGATGCATTGAAATACTAAAACACCGGACAGTACTCCATATCAAAAGAGTGTTGAGGACTTTCATCTTCACATTTCTGGGGTTTATCCAACTCTTCCGTTAGCTTCTGGTGAGGATTATCCTTTGAACATAGTAGTGGACGATCTCAGGGCTGATCTAGTGTGCCATTGCATAGTTTCTCTATCTTAAAACTACTGGATTTTTATGAAAAAAATAACGGGGGGGGGGGGGAGAAAAAAACAGTTCAATAATAAAAAGACTAATATTGTAATTGAGGTTTCTGTTGTACTATGATTTAATTCTGTAATTGTGTTCTTAGTTCTTCTATTTCTTGCACTTCTGATCAAGCAGAACATGCTAAAGATGAATTTAAGCTACCCTCTGTCCTTTTGAGGGGTTTGTGGGCTAAACCAGACCATCCTTTCCACTGGGATACCTAGAAAGTTAGGTCAGTGTTGAATAATGTATTACCAGAGTGTGATAGCTCAAGGTAACTGCCCATCTTTGCCCCCGCAGTGTTCTCTTCTGCACATACAAATTCCTGTCTTAGAGCAACTTTAGCTCCTGCTCTTCCTATTGCAATACAGCCAAAAATACTGGAAGAAACCCATATCTCTTAATTTCCTTTAAATTTATATTAAATAGAGAAATATATATTATTTATGTTTTCTACAGAAAGAGATATATATGCATATCTAAATATATACATATATAAAAAAACCCTTTTCTGTTTATCTCTTCTTTTTACTGTATTGCTTGTTTGGTTAGTGTTTGACCATAACCGGGATTGTTAAGAACTGACATTAACTGCGAGTAGTTACATTTATTATAAGATATAACTTTACATTATGAACATTATTATTGATTACACCTGTGTCTCTACAAAGGATTTAATAGGAAAAATACATATTCCCTTCCTATCATTCAAACAGATGTGGAGAACCGACCCTTCTCTAGCTTTTCCACATGAAAAGCTCCTTTCAAAACAGATAAGCAGTCTTTGTGGTTATGTTGAAATATGCTGTTAAATACCAAGAGCTCCTAGTACATTTTTAAGGAGCTGATACAGCTTCCTAATCGGGAAGTTACCACTATTTCACACATTGAAATACTACAATCCAAGGAAATAGTATTTAGTAACTCTCTGTATCTGCTGTAAAATTCATATTTAGATTTCTTTTAAACAAAGATCAGATACAAAATGTAGCTTCTTCAGTGTCACTTGTTTGTCCATAGCTTTTAAACATTTTCATTTTGTGCATATACCAATTTTAAACTCTGAAAACTCTTACAGATATGAATGTATTCAAAGTAGAAAATTAGTCAGTGAGGCAAGAATGTATAGTTATACTGAAAAATAACCTCTGGGTCCCTGCAGCACAACTTGCTTTTTGCAAAATAAGAGGTATTTACAAATTATAAAATACTTGCCCAGCATTCATATTTTAATTTTTTTTAAAAAGTATATAAAGGCTGAAAATGGGAAACATTGTCACAATTTTAGTTTCACAGCAAAACAAAGAAAGAATTCAGTGCACTTACAAATAGATCCAAGTGTGCCAGCTTGCAGCCAGACAAGAAAAGCAAATTGCAAACATGGTATCTCTGTGCAAACGACAGTTATTATTGACTCGGGTCTACTTAAATTGTCCCCATCTAAGCTCTTCAGAGTTAAAGAACAGGGAGTACAAAAAGTGATCTCACGTGTTCAGTCCAGCTACCACACTAGTAAAAGCTACCCACTCCTCTTGAAATGGGAGAGGGAAAACAGCTGGAGCTAGGTTGTCAGGTAGTTAAAACTGCTGTAGTGCCAATAAAGCAGTCAACAACTTACTGGAGTCAATTAGTCAGCCCCTAAATGTTTTCTCACAGTGACTAAGATGTTTGTTTAGACAAAGCAGAAGACCCTGAATTTCCTAAATCAATGCAGCATTTCATGTTTCTATTAAAATTAATTTAATCTTAATGTACTAAAATGAATTTCAAGATAGGAGCCCTTTATTTTTATTTGACTGCATGTAAAAATTCTTTGTGTGCTTTTGACACCCACCAGTGTTCATTACACCTGCGACAAAGTTGGCATGCATTTGATTTGATTAGGCATCTCTTTCCCAATTACATTCTTAAGAAGGACTATGGAGATGAAGGGTACATGACTATGAAATATGAGAAAAATCTCATGACTGTGTTGAGAGTGACAAATAAATTAAAATATTATCACCTTTAAACTCTGAATATCCTGACAGTACTTCGCCTCTGGAAAAAAGTTCCAGGGAGTTTGCTGTGGGCAGTTCAGTAGAATCAGCTGATAAAATGCACCTTGTACGCTAATTAGCTACCAAGACTTGCTTCCAGGAAGTTTCCTGGAGCTGGAGGCTTGCATTTAGCTTGAATGGGTAGCTGCATCTTTCTATCTAGTCAGCTGCAGACCTTGAAAATTCCCTGACATCTCAGTCCTGCGTTTCTAGAGCCTGCCCAGAAATTGCTTGTTATTAGTCTGGTTCTACTTCCGTGGTCGATCTCAACTAAAAAAGTTACAGTATCTTAACTAACCAGATAAAGTACATAAACAACAGTTTCTATTACATTTTTTCTTGTATCTTATTCCTTATAAATATTATCTCAGATTAAAGGAGATGAAAATGAAATTAAAGAAAATTGGAATTCATCATTCATCTTTCTATGAAAGGGTTATGAAAACATGATGAGATTGCAGCTCCTTGTCATGGGATTTAACATTATTTTGGGTCAATTTCAAGTGCTGCAAATCTGTGCAGCTCCTAACCTTTCTGTGAAACCATGCCAAGTTATACCAGTTCAGAATCAGGCTTATTTTAGCAATGCTGATTGTTTGTTTAAAACATAATCCTGTTATTGATGTTTTATATCTTGTAAACAATCGATTGTTTATAACAGAATTAAAACAAATATCCATTCTTTGACAATTGAACAAAATAATTTAAGAACTTTTACAGTAGAATCAATGTAAGAAATATTAAGAAAGTATTGTTAGAACCTTGTGCAGTTTCTATCTTTTGATTTGTCCAGAGTTTGTTTCCAGGTGATGTCCAATGTAAATATTCCCGGTCTGAAAACTGAGAGCACCTGTGGATAGACAAATCCTTTGAAGTCCCTTCAACCCTACATGACCTTCCGTGATTTCTTTCAAACCTTGAGCTGTTCTTCAGTTGGACTGATGGTCATTTCGAAGATGCATTGCAGTAGGTTCAAAAAACTGGAAGAAAAGTTTAAAGAGAAGTTTAAGCTACGGGTTGTTAACAACGAAGTTAACCAACAAACCCACCTGATTTCTAACTGTCTCAGTAGACTTAAAATAGAACTGCATTACAAGGGAGAATCCTCTTAGAATTTGATGTTTATTACCTGGATCATCAAAGCTCAGTTGTAAGTATGTATTTTCCCCCAAACTTTATTTTTCCAGTGTTTAAACTGAAACATGATGTAACAATATACATTGCAAGCTTTATGAATATTAACACACTGAAGCTAAATACTTTTCCAGTTCTTGTTTCTTTCTCTGTTCTTGTTTCTTCCCACTTTACCCACACATCGTTAGCATCTCTTCTCCTTCAGCCTGTTAGTTACTCTTTTTTGGCCTTTTTACTATGTTCTCTGCATCCAAATAATATCCAGGACTCAGCACATTTAGCACATTCAGTGACTTTGTACCTTCCTCTGCTCCCAAACATAAAAGCTGGCCTCAGCTTGGTTTTCTGCAGTTTATCATCAAAATTTTAACATCATATCCTTCTTTAGTTTGATTCACTCCATCATTCCATGCTTTCTTACTTAAAAAACTGTAATATAACATTACATACAAGAATTAAGACGGATTACTTTAGAAAGAAGATGTGTAAGAAAATGCGAGAACAGTATATGCATTGTGAATGATATGGGAAAGGTAGACTAAGTACTTGAATTCTTCTCATTAAAAGGGCACTATTTGCATTCTAAATCAAGCAAATCTTAAATTAAACTAAGCATGCAATTCACCTACCAAGGTCACTGTCATAAATTATTATTCAGCTCAAGGACTCAGCAAGATTTAAGACCAAAAACAAAGCCAAAAAATGCTGTATGACTTTCTCATTTGTCAGATAAGTTTGTTCACCTTTCAAAGAATTTCTCAATGTGGCTTATCTAGACAAATGTGTACCTTTTGCTACTGTTTAGAGTTTTTTGTGGATGGCAGATATTACTGCACTCTACAGGAGGACATGCACCATTGAAACATGCCCGCTCCCTTCTGCATGTACATATCATGGGGATGTCACATTTTCAAACCTTCCATCTAAATTAATTACAAACTGACCTTACATAGTGAGGAAGTAAGTCCTCTTTAGAGTAATTTTAATGCTTTTTTTCTCATATCATAAATGGCACAGTGATATTGCTATAGTTAACCATCTGTCAGCATTACAGTTATAAAACCTTTTGAGAGAAAGGTGGGCTTATCATACAAGTATCAGCATTTTCTGCAGTCTAAAAACTGGCATCTGTTATTTCAGCTGGGGATTCTTTCATATACATATTTTCAAGTGCCTCCTTTTTTCTACTTTTATGTTGTCCTTTGGTTATATTAGGTTCTGACAACACTCCGTCTAGCAAAATGCAGGCAGAGAACTATATTAGCTTCATTTCTATGTTGTTACCAATATAACTGTTATCCTGCAATGCTATTGCTACTCCACAATGCAAACCAGTTTACACTGAAATATCTTTTATGTATCAAGTTCCATGGTGGATGACTGCTACTGAATAAGAATGTTTTCCCACTTGTTCCAATAGAGAATAGAACTATTTATTTAAATATTAAGGCCAGATGATAACTTTATCCCCATCCACATATAAAAAGCATTCAGTTGAAGCACTTAGTTTCAACTTGGAATTTTTTTTTTCATTTTTTCATTCAGAGAATGCTGCTATTTTGGTTAAAAATACAGCAAAAGATTAATTTTACAAAGAAAGTTTGCTACTAAACTTCCCGGTTTCCTGAGCTGAACTTGATTCAATATATACGGAAGTACAAATACAGAGTTCAGTCTAAGATACTCTTGCTATCTGCCCAATCCTGGCTGCTCTAAAAAAGCATATTCAAATGTTTAAAGGCATGTATTTTATTAGAAACACCTTCCTCATTATACAAACTTCCAAAAGTTCTGTGTAATTAACATACTTTTAATTTACATGTATAGTAAGAGAAAGGGTGATTGACCTGAAGTCTTCCAAAAAGAAAATTATTAAATGGAGGGGGAAGAAAAAGGTACTCCAAAGAGCACTTTGAAAAGTACTCTAGCCCCAAGGTTCTTCTAAATATTATCAGATACAGTATGCAAGGATGACTTCTTCATTTCTGTAACATATGGCCTATTGCTTAAGCCATAAGAAAACTGCATAGTCGTGCACAGAAATACGAGCAAACACCTTAGGAATGCTGTTAGAATGATGTTCTGCACTCCAGACTACGCTAATCAAAATCCTAGAAAGGTGCACTACAAGAACTTACGCGTAGGAAATACGCTTATTTCAATGGCCTGATGTCCTGGTTCCGGCAGGGATGGGGTTAATTTCCCCAAGAAAGAGCATGAACTCGGTAGAGCATGAGACTCTTAATCTCAGGGTTGTGGGTTCGTGCCCCACATTGGGTGCCTAAAGACTACACTGAGAGCCATGGGTGGTGGGACCTTCAAACATTGGGATGTACATTTAGCAAAAGCCGCCTGGTTAGTTAACACCAGGGGATCTGCCAATTGAGCTGGCCCCGCCCAATCAAAATTTCCATGTACAGTAGAAGGGGATAAAGTTCCTATAGTGCATATGAAGAATATGCTCGGGAAGACAGTCTGGGTTAGCCCTGCTTCAGGCAAAGGCAAACCCATCCGTGGGATTGCTTTTGCACAAGGACCTGGATGCACTTGGTGGGTGATGTGAGAAGATGGGGATGTCCGATGCGTACCTCATGGGGATTTGATTTTGGGTGAGAATAGCCAATGAATAGAATTTTATAATGTTAAATGTTAAATAACTTTACTACTGTATGTTATCATGATTGCTATCAATGGTACTACAGAAGAATCACCCAAATCAATGACAGATGGACTCTGATTAAAGTGCAGTAACGATGTAATAAGAATTGACTTCATCAGCTGGCACCCAGCAACTTCCTCGAGATCGACATCTTCAACCTGCGGACCATGGGCATGGACTGCATCAGGTACACCAGCCTCAGCAGCTGGCACCCAGCAACTTCCTCGAGATTCACATCTTCAACCTGTGGCCCGTGGGCATGAACTGCATCAGGTACACCAGCCACGAGCTTCAAATACAGTACGTACCAGTCCAGCACTACACACCATCTCATGTGCCCTGAGAGACTGTTCTTGCAGATGGAGCCTACCATCATGGACTAAGTGAGCCCAATGGACATTTTGGAGGGATGGCCCACAGACTATGGGAACTGTAAGATCCGGGCATGACACAGATGGTATGGAATAAGGGGTGGATAATGTCCTGGTTCCAGCAGGGATGGGGTTAATTTCCCCAAGAAGCCGGCAGGGGGCAGGTATTCCATCCCACGTGACCCATGCTCGGGCTGTAAGAGGCGCTAGCAGGGGAGAAGAGAGTAGTCGTCACTTGGGGGTGGGCTGTGGCGGCGCGGGGGCGGTTGGTGCGCTTTGCGGTGGGATTGTAATCGCGTTTTCATCTTCCCTTTTGCTATTCTGTTGAATTGTATTATTTTAACCCACGAGTTTTGCCCTGTCGATTTCTTTTTCCACGGCTGTGGGAGTTGCGTGAGCGACTGTGTGGTTCTTTGTTGCTGGTTGAGGCCAAACCACGACACCTGATTAGATTTTTTTCTTCCATTTTGTTTTTTAAACAAAAGCCAAATGAACTCAAAGAAGTAACTCAAAAAAGAAAAGTTAATATGGTTGAAATACCGCACAAAATGCATTTTCTAAATGAAATTAAATTTCTTAATTGAGTAATACTGTACCAATATTTAATCTTTTGGGCTTAAGCCTGTGATTGAGTTGAACTGGTCTTGAAGCATGCTATGCTTTGCTCACAACTTTTGTATCTCTTCTGCTTCAATGGGAAGGCTTACATATTTTTAAAGCAAAACCAATACTGGTTTTCCTTGAAAGTAATGACTGGTGAAGTGATACAACATACTGAATTAGAAACCTAGCAATGTATATCACAATCATGATTAGTTACAACTGAGTACACAAACAAGAAAATGTAATTTATGAAGAGCTTGATCAACATTTTACATAATTATTTACATCCTTCATCATTGAAACACCCCAGCTGTCAATACTGTTGTTTTCTAAATCTTGCTGCTGGGTTCCTGTCGTTCTATGAGACTACTAGAGAACGTAATTTCTGAGTTTGTGAGCAGGTTTGTGAGCTCGCAAAGGTGGCCTTTAAAAAATATTTAGTCAGCACTATGTCCTAGACTCTAAAAGTATTTTAAAAGCTTAGTTGTAACATAGCTATTAATATACAAGGTTCAGTGTAAATATTTCATCGCTACGAAGGGAAATGGCAACTACATTCCAAGTATTTCTAGATCCAAAATGTGAATGGCTGAATGATATCACTGGAATTATGGCATGCTACACAAGCTGAGGAACTGGCCTCTAAACAGAAGCTGTAATGATTACACATGAGCTTTTTTGATACTTCCCGTCTCTGATTGAGATAAGTAATTTGCACACATAGTCAATATTTTAATAGCAGGATCAGTAACTCTGGCACAAATGCTAAATTTAGCACTGGGCAGATTTTGAGTGGCCAGGAGTTAGCAGCTGTGACCTCTTGAGAGAGACATCTGCAGAAACATTTGTAAGAGATAGTGCCTCCTATCTTCCTGGCCTACTGATTTCATGTAAACTGCTTGTCAGCATGCTTCATCTTTGAGAGACAGCATTTTCCAGATCATACTAGTAGCAAAAATCAGCAAAATTAGAGGCTGGTAGCCTCTGCTTCAAGCAGAGGCAAGATGCCAGCAATCAGCTGATCAGCTGTCTTGTTACTTTGAACTGCAGCATCTCTTGGCTGTCCATGAGGTTTCCCTTGGCTTGCTCTACCACTCATCTAGCAAATAAAGGTACAATCTGCTCACCAGTCATACCAGATTGCCAGCCTCTGTTTTTATTGATGTAGGGACTTTGTGCCTTCAGTACCATCTAAATACCGTCATTATCTCTCTAGCTGTCCTAAATAAAGCTAAATGTACCAATCATATTGACTGCAATGTACAGTGAGATTTGAAAACTCTATGGCAACGAGGCAAATGAATATATTTTTTACCAAGGAAACGGACACCATTAGCTGTATTTAGGCAAAGGGGAAAAATTAGAGAATTAAAGCATTAAAGACTTATAATTTTCAAGCAGTCATTAAACTCTAAGCTAATCACTGACTGATTATTCTAGACGTGCTCAATTTGCAGGGCACACATCTCTTCTGGACCTCATGGATATCTAAAGACATGATCACTCTCTGACTGATTAAAACAAACTCAAGCAAAGAATTTAGCAGCTTTATCGGCATAAAACAGTTCAGCTATATGATGAAACAGGAAAAATCAATGTTAAAATGTATAAAACCAGAGACTCTTGATTCAAAAACGGTATACTGCAGTCGTCAGCTCTTCACATTATGGACAAATGGTTTAGAATGAATAACAAACTTTTTTGGGGAGACTGTTATCTTATTACCTCACTGAGCAAACCTTAGGAGATATTAAAGTTCTTATCTCCTTCACTGCATTGCTTCAACAGATAATTCTACCATTCCCTACTGCAGATAGGAAGATTAAGAAAGGGAAGATTTAAGATTAGTTTGTTTGCCAAGAATGGCGTCATACGTTGTCTTACACAATGTGTTCTGCTCAGTGCAACATGGCATAGAGATAAGTGTTCACATTTCTCATCTTCAAATAGCCTTTCTGCGTTGTACTGAGTGCCACTTCTCCTGAGAGCCACAGCTGATTTTTTTAAGAAAGCCAGTATCAGTCATTTTCTTCAGAAAGGACTGATTAACTGGAGTTGCAAGAGTAAATGAACAATTAAAATAATAATGGTCAGGTAAACATACTACATATTATAAGCAAGTATTCAGAAATGCTACTACTCACTTCCATAGTGTCCTTTGAAAGATAAACAACCCAGTATACCAGGTTGAATCCTGCAAATGCCACTGGAAAGAGGATCCTAGAATACTGATCTATTTTACTTGTGCCTCCAATAGATGGTGGTGGTGGTGCTGCTGGTGGAGGAACAGACCCTGGTTGACACTGGGATGCACTATTTGATATTATGCTGGTTTCAGGAGACTGATCTGCCTGAGACGTTACAGAGTTTACTCGCTTCTTCAGGTTACAATTGGAGTCAGAATGCTGTGGAAGAAAAGAGAGGAGAGGGGAAAAAAAAGGGTCATTTTTGGATATAGAGTCTTAGGTTTTGTGATCATTAGGCTTCTCTCCACCTTTCTACTCAACTTTCTGATTTTATTGCTGCTTCTCTGCTATAGAGCAACCTAAGGAAATCACAAAAATAATGCAAATATACAGAGGTACATTTGTGGCCTAAACTTTTGCTGTAAAAACAAAAAAGAATATGTTCTTTCCATATTTTTAACATGGTAATAAATGGAAGCTACAAGAGAGAAAGAAAAGACGGAGCTAAAAGGAAAAGAAAAGAAGGTAATGGTGTATCTAAATTGCAATATATTGGTATGACTGAAGTTCACATAGATATGAATGAAGTTTAAATAGAATGGCACGTATGGGCTGGTTCAAGTGCAGTCTTCGCTGTGTGAGCACATTGATGAGTTTTGGTAAGCATTCACTGAATGGAGTCAAGCTGTCACACTGTATTAATCCCCAAACTAGCTGCTGATGAACTAGAAAACTGCTGCGCAAAAGGAAGTGGACTAACTTCACAGGTGCTGAAGATATGAATGCTAAGTTGTCCTGCAGTTTTTTCCAGGATGAAGTTTCATTTTCAGGTATATCTCATGACTCCCCCAGCAGTTTCATGAACTGAACACAAATACTCATCCTAACTGTAATGGGACTATTTTTATTTTAATTTATGGTAATAAGAAACCAAACTATTCCTATATTTTGTGCAATATTCACAGCCAGGTCCAATTATTCTTTAGAAAGTTGTATGAAAACTTCTAAAAATTTAGCCAGGCCTCAGGAACATTTAGAATTTACCTCTTAGTTGCTAGGCTGACATGTATATTCATTATGAACATCTGGTTTATTTGTGGCCAAGTTACTTTCTCAAGAGTAGAAGTAATAGATTTGTTCCTTGCAGAAATGGCTTAGGAGTAGGATCTACCACAGGCTCTAAGCCTGCTATAATGAATGTCAGTTACCCGCTTTCACAGTAGTATCAAATGGGAGGAAATTTTCAAAATTTTTTTTGCTGCTACTGCTACTATCCAGGACCACCATTAATAATGCAGTAATGCATGGCAGCAGCCATAAGATTCATCTGATAGCTGGGAAAATACAGAAGAATGCTAGAGTGTCAAGTTGTTTTTTATTGTTTTGCTATGAAGTGCTCAAGTTTTCTGTTAATAGGGAGCAACAGAAATACCTCAGACTCTAAAAAGCAATGACAACATACAACATTTTAGTTGAACTTGAGTCTAAAGCTTCATCAATAAAGGACTACAAAAATTCCAGATTATTGATGAAAAATATTGTGCAGCAAAATTGCACAACATACACAGGTATTCTTGGGTTTGAAAAAGAGCGGCTTTTTTGGTCAGCAGAACTACATGATTGAATGACTGAAGCTAATGAAGGAAGTCTTAGACAATGTAAATAACTTACAATACAACAGCATAGATATATTGTAAAATGGAATAGTAACATTTGAATGGTTTTAAAGTAGCAAAATTCTGTTAGATATGCAATTTCCAAAGTCATTCCTTGGGAGTCATGACAATCATTCACTGTCAGCATTTTTGGGATTTAACTTGCAGGATTTCTATGGACAGAAACAAATTTTAGTTAATCAGATAAATGAACAGGTTGTTAAAAGGAAAAGAAGTATTTTCTGAAATACTTTGCCTATACTTGTACTTGGGCCACAATTTCTAGAAAAAAGACTAGCCTAACACACCTGGTATCTCATGTATGACTTAAAATTGAGTTATAGCAGGAATTATTCTTTTAGTGGTCAGTATCAGAACAAGTGACATTGCTACAATGTCACTTGCATGATGCCAAGTTCTGCTCATGGATGAATGGACTGGTATCTAACTGAAATTAGGGAGAGATGGATTGCTTACAGCTGATTTTAGTCTAAGTAAAAGGAGGAGAGAACATCATCTTACTTGCCAAAAAGAGGTGCTTTTTCTGTATATATCTCTTTCACCTATTAACTTTTTCTTCCCCCACATCCAATCAACACTACCAGGTTGCCATATCCCTCATTCTTCCACTTTGCCATTTACATATTAAATGATTAGTATCATGTTTTGAATGGATATTAAATGGCATTCATATTCTGGGGCTGTGCCTATCTGGAACGCAGATGTTTGTTTTTGTATTTTCTAGTAACACAGTAAGCACCAGACAGATTTAGATGGAGGATGATCTACAGATGCGTCTCAGAAACAGAAAGAGGGTTATCCATGTCCACTTGCACTAATCATAATAATAATAATCTCACTCTATAAACAGACTGGCTGACAGAGCCTGGGCTACTGCTTTCACTGAAGTTGCTATTCATTTTGCTCGCGTGCCCTGCTTTGAACTGAACTGTAGAAGTCGTAAGGTAGCTTGTTTTCTGCTTTACTGCAAGATTGCTTGACCTTTTGTGGAGAATGAGAGGTTCCTAAAACTGTAAGTGCTAAGGTGAATCTTACCCCTTTTTATCTGCAATATTCTGGTATAAGGTGGGTCAAATTCTGCTCTGGATCACTCAAGCATGAATTGTTATTGTACTGAGCAGTTATTGTACTGAGGTTGACAGAGTTAATAGTAGGCAGAATAGATGTAGCATATGGTCTCTGGATGATGATGTGTACTGAACGTATTTAGAATGTAGAGGTTGTAAATCATTCTGATCACCTGAATAGGCACTTGGAAAAGTGTAATCCTGGTTGTTACTTTATTTATAATATTTATTAAATCTCATTCCTATAGAAGGAGGATTGCTACAGAAGCCGGATTATCTCAATGTGATTTCATCTCAAGTTGGAGACAGGAAGATCTGGAGTCAGTGTGTATCCTCAGAACTTGGGGAGCGCACTAACTTGATTAGGCTCCCATTTTGGGGCCAGTTTAGGTCTATTTCTATCAATGGAGTGATATTCATAATTTCTCATTATCTAAAATAGCCTATTCCAATATTCAGGAAGGACCAGTGCATTTTACTGTCTCAGTAAAGACACAGTTTTTTGTCATGCTCTTCCGCTGCTGAGGAGATAGTTTAGAGTTTATATCAATCATTCAGAAAGTTCCTGAGTAGTTCTTTACACTGTCTTTATCACCCTCACGTGCTCATCCAGCAAGTCAGGGTTGAGTCTATTTTCTTGTATACCACTACCCAGGATACAGAATTCTAAGTCCAAATTTATCTCAGATGTGTAATGACGATGTTTCTCAGTGTGGTAGCTAACTGTAGACCAGACTTGCTGCCCCAGAACCACAACTCATATTTGTCATTGGAATTCATTGCTAAAGCAAGAGGAGGAGGCGGCGAGAGGAAACCCTATAGTTTCTTATTACAGGTGAGTTCTGAACAGCAGCTACAGTAATTTGTCTACTATATTTAGATTTAACTTTTGCTTTCGACAGATTACCTACAATGACATCATGAAACTTCAGCAAGACAGAGAGAAAACAGGCATGAATAGCCTATTTTGCATAGTTCACACAGCCAATTACTCAAATAGTAAGGTCTGTTTTAAAAGTAGCAAGAGCAATAACAAGAAGCCTGAGGCATGGCACACTGTGTCATAATGGAAAAATTAATTTTAAGTTACTGAATCCTGATTCAAAGGAATACTCTTGCACTCATGTGGAATGTTAGTCCCATCAGGCAATTAAACTTATCGCTACGTATGACTACCCAGTGACACAGAACAGATTGCAAGATCACTGTTAAATACAAGATACATCAAACTGGACTAGACGAAGACTGGTAAGGTATAGTCTGGCTTCTGTTAAGCTTTTGCAGCTCAGCTATCTGATACCCTAGAAAGCTCACAAAGCAGTCTTGTCTATAAAGGTGCTGCTCTCTCACAACTCTCATCAATATCACTAGAATTTGCTTATGTTCAGAATACTTCAGGAGGCTTTCGGCAAATTGCTTGACTTCCAGATTTAAGAAAATACAGCATATATAAACTTGCAATAAAAGGAATTCTTTGCTTTTTCTGATTTTTATATGGATGCTAACAGTGATTTATGAATGCACTTTGTTTCTTTTCCTCAAGAGATTTCTGTAATTCTTATTTGTAAAATTCTCTACTGTTCTCTGTTCCTTTGTACTGCAAATACATATTCTCACTATCAGTTTATTTTATGAACTAGCGGTAACGTGAGAATCTTATGTATGCACTCAAATACTGGCTAACTTTAAACAAATTAATATCTGTATGTCCTTGCTTGTCTCTCTTCTACTCACTTATGTCTCTTTTTCCTGCAGACAAAGCAGTAAAAAATAAGTTTGTGAGAATAAACTCTAAAAATTTAGACAAAAAATGTGTTATTCCTCTTTTTCTTTATAATCTATTAGATTAAGGATATGGAACTTTGACATCACAAAACACACAAAAAAACCCAGAAACAACAGCAAAAAAAAAAAAAAAGCTAGGACCAAACCTCAATGTTTGTACAAGGCAGAATACTAAATTAAATATATAACATTCTTTTTCCCTACCCATCTCATTAGTAGATACAGTTTGAGTAATTTCAACCATTCATATTATCCACATAAAATGACATGCTAGTGCCTTAGCTCCCAAACAGGTAGTTAAGCATAGTTTAGCCCCTACATTCAACAGCATGATCTGTGAAAACTGCTTAGCTACTGAACAATCCATATGCAGCACCTTGCAGCAGGGAAGTTCACCATGTTATGTAAGATCTCCTATTGGGCATGCACTAAGGTACCTCAATCTTTACAGTCCTGTGCAGTTTAAGTATCCAGCTCATGCCAGAGATTCATTATAACCTAGAATTTAGACATTTCTTTGCATATCTCATATGTGGGATTTGGTTGAACAAATGTGTATTGCAAACTTCTATAAACAGTGTTCTGCATAATTAAAAGCTGAATAGAGCTTAGAAGCCATCAATAGTCCTAGCTTTAGGCATCTCTTTAGGAATTTTAACTTTCCTTTCCTAGAAGTATTATGAGGAATAACGTGCACATTTGTTTTCTTCATGCTTTACCCTAGTAAAAGGGTTAAATCAATTAGGTTAAATTACTCACTTGGAGCATAAGAAAGCCATGTTTAAATTCTTTCTTAAGCTTCAGGGATTGAAATTTACCTCTCTCAAAATACAGCCTAACCATCAGGTGAAGGTGGCTAGGGGGAATGTCTGTTGCCTTATTACTTCAAAGCTGTTTTACTTGGCATGGAAAAAGAGCCATGAGAGGCAGAAAACAACTTTGAAAAATATACCATGCCCATTGTATTAAAATTGCTGTCATATAAAACAGGTAAGCACTAAGGAGAGCAAAGACTGGAACACCAGTCATTCTCTTTTCAATGTGAAGGTATTGTGTGGAGTCTCTTCCTAACATCTATATGTAGCATATCAGAACAATCATATAATTAGTACAGAGCCTCTGTCAAAATATGTCTATGTTAAACAGGTTTAAATGTTCAAAGAACATTCAGCTCTTAAACTGATCAGTGTCCGTCCAGAACAATCCCTGCCTCTGCATATACTTTGCTAAATTTCTGCAGCATATAGAAAACTACTTCTTTGATTGTTTAAATGAGGCAGAATTATACAAACAGCACTAGAGAAGTTTGTTTGGAGTTTTTTTTCCATAATTTAACTTACTTTGTGTTGTTCTCACTGCCTCCCTGCAAAAAAAGGTACGGGGATTAGACTTCAATGTTCAACAAAAAAATGTCTAAATCCAATTCATCTTGAAATTTTCTATTTTGAGGTATGTATGATATCAGCTACTTCTAAACCTTCCTTACTGCCCTGCATTGGCTTCGTCAATCAGACAAATATTTAACTCAGGCAGAACCAAATAATCAGCATCTACTTGCCTTGTTGGGATGACATAAATGTCAATAATTTGAAGTTGTTTGTCTTTTAATTGTCTACTTGATAATCTGCAATTGTGGAGGAGCAGGAAGGTCTCCCTAATTTGACTGAAACTGCCATGTTCTCAGTCAATACTTTAATGTCTATAACTGTTTCTAGGATGATTTTATAAAGAGTTGTTGATAATCGAAATAGAAGTGCTTTCCTTTCAGTTACACTAGGATACATATCAAACATACTCAGTATATTCTGATGTAATTATAGAAAACTAAATCCTCTATACTGAAGTAACATACGGCTGCTCTGCAGTTGGGCAGCGTTGTTAAAGAGAATGAGAATCCTTTTCTGCCCAAGCCATGTTGTTTTGAAACACAGGGACAAGGCTATTTGTAGGCAGAAGGAAACTCTCCCAGCAGCAATTCACTGTTCTGTGCCATTTTCTGTTAAAACAACAGGTCTTTTAGAACATAACTGTAATCAAGCTACCACCCTGTCACAATCTTTCGTCTTTTACATGTAGTCTCTCCTCCATGGAAAGGAGGGCTTTTGATCCATGTTGTGTACTCCCTGACCATCTCGCATAGTATTACTTCAAATCGCGCACTCCAGACAGTATCACCAATTCCCCTTCCCCTGCAACTTCCAATGTTGGGATATTCCTGGATCAAGGGGGCCATAATGATGAAACAATATGATTGATATAAAAAATAGTTTTGAAATGGATTTAAAAGCTAAATGCCATAATGTTTTTTATGTATATATATAACGTTTGGTTTTGACAGGCTAGAACAAGCTTGGTCACCATATGAATAAAATCAGGTTTCTGTCAGGGTCCAGATGACTACTCAGCTTGTTGCCATCATATTTTGGAGTGGAACACCCATAGTTTTGTATTTCACACAGGGATTGCCTGCATCTGACCGAGAGAGCAAGCCAAATTCTGCTCTCAGTTAACTGAGGTAAATAGAGTGGCTTTCCTGGAACCAGAACAGGCATGCTGGGCTGTCATCAGATAACTGAGCACATAGTCGGACCATTGTCTCTCTTACTGAAACTGGTGTAGTCCAATGAATTGAGCAGAGTTTCTCCTACTTTTGTTAGTACAGGAGAGCAGAATTAGGTCTTCTGCCATTTCTCTTTTCTAAGTGTTCAGGTTTTTTGTCTACAATATAAAAACCCATGAAAAAAGGTTTTGTTCATTTGAATAAAAAAAGATTTTAAATAACATTAACTAGACTGAAAGGGGAAGGAGGTTTTTTGATGATATTTTGAAAGATTTTGGGGTTGGTTTCTTTTTCAGGAAAAATAGTTAATTTGGAATTTAAAAAAAACCTCTTGATGAGTTTAGGCCCTCACTCAAGCAGCAAAAGCTTCTAACTGGCTGTTTTCTAACTACTTTGAATTTTCATTTATATGAAAACTGTCTCCCTGGCCTTCTCTTACACAAAGCAGGAGAACAGGTCTCCTGTCATATAGAAAGCACTAGTTTAGACAGCCTAAGGTTATTCCCACTACAATGTTCTTTAGCCACTCTCCAGACAATTTAAGATAATAGATTATTAAAAACATATAGTCTATGTTGTTACTCTTTAATGTTGCTATCGGTAGTTGGAAGTTGTATAGCCATGAAACTTGACTGACTTCCTTATCCAACTACAGACTCAAAGGTTTTACGGAAGGTCATTCAAATTCCATTAGTCCTCTCAAAATGAGAAATGTGCTGGTTATAAAACTGATTTTGAATACAGGAAGGCTATAGTGGTAAATACATTAGCATATGTTGTGAGACAACATTCATTACTTAGCCAGAGATGTAATATTTACAAGCAATTCTGACATACTTTTTTGATACAAGAAAGCTACCTGTCTTTTACATGTACTAAACTGTATCCTTAATCTTTATGTTTTCTCCTCTAGCTTCCACCAACATAGATTTTTATGAAAGTAACAGATGCCAAGTTTATGTAAAGGCTAATTCCTCTTCTTCCAGATGACCCACTTATGGTATGCATCAGTGTACTACAGTGATCCCATAATCATCTGGCCAATGCACATGTTCACTCCGTTGCAGTGTCCTACAAATTCTGCAGACTTTCTGAGAGAACCACAGCTGCCTAACCACACTGCCTACAGCATTGCTCAAGAGAAGTATTATGGATTACAATCTAATGGCTTTCCTTAAATATCTTACCAAATAAACATCTCTCTAGTAAATCATATCTCAAATTTAGACGGACAGTATGAATGAATGAATGAAGTCTTTTCATTTTCTGAAATAAGAACAATGTCTTTGATAAATAGACACGATCTGGTTACATAATCTGTTTCAGGTTAAGATCCCTTTAATATTGTTTTGCATTCACTACTTCAGCTGCCTCTTCCTATATGATGCTTATTATCAGAAAAGCAAGCAATTACCGAGACAATCTCGTCCTCTGCCGGTACAGTTGCTGCTGATAGTGCTGCTGCCAGTGCTGCTGCCCTGGCTGCCTTCCTCATTGCTCTCTGAGTCTGAAGATTGGTAAAGTAGTTGACAGCTGCAAACTCGATAAGTGCGGAGAAGACAAAGGCAAAGCACACAGCTATGAACCAATCCATGGCGGTAGCATAGGACACCTTGGGCAAAGAATGGCGTGCGCTGATGCTTAAAGTGGTCATTGTTAGAACTGTAGTGATTCCTTGAAAATAGGAGAAAGAAAATGGGGGCATTAGAATTATGCTTCAACCCTGCTACTCTTAAATTCACATGTATTAAAAAAACCAAACAGCTCCTCTTTGGTTTTAGCACTGTACCAGCTAACCAACAAGACTGCTAAGTATTATGTATTATTAAATAATTCATGTATACTGGCTTCAGCATCTAAAAGCTCTGAACAAACTTCCGTAATACATTAAGCAGACTGAAAGTTAGGGTAACAACATACTACATGGTACAGCTTCTTAGAATTGTGATAAACATGGGTATAACAAAATTCAGGCCCAAACCATGAAAGACACTTTACTTGAGGGGTCAGTAAGTGGAATGTTTGGCAGAAATCTAGATCAAAGTACTGTCATTTCCCAACAATGATCCTCTCTTTCTCCTGTTGCACAAAACAGATCATGGCTTACAGAATTCCCACCGAATCAGTAGAATTCTTCATTAAAATCACTGGTAGGCTATGATCCAAATATTTCTAGTAATAAGAGTTTGGTGCTCTGTGCAGTTACCTTTAATCACAGGATACCGTCTTTAAGATTCACTAACAGTATCTTGATTTGAAAGCACCCATAGTTACAAATATAGGACAGAAAAGCTACTTCTCTAGAGCTGCTTATCTATTTTCACACAACAAATCTGGTGATGTAGCTCGTGGGCCCCATAGTGTTCTTTGCATGAACTCATGAATTTATTCTTTCTGTTTTGGAGTGTACAGCATTAATAATGTAGGAAATATACTTACTTCCCACTGCTGCCCAATACAAGCAGAAAGTGCAAGAGCAAACTCATTCATTAACATATAAGCCTCTGCGTCTCATGTTTACTTGTAATTATGCCTGCTAGAATGTGAAAACTGCAGGTATTCAAGACAATAAGGTGAAGAATACCCTTTTCTGCTCTTTTCTGCAGTTGGGACAGGGTAGGTAGGAAACTAAAAGATTTTACAATGTCCTGTTTTGATGATGAATCAATATGCTATGAATGATGCTCAGTGGAAAGGATGCAGTGTCATTGCATACTGCAGCATCAAGACAGGATGACTTGATTCAGTTTTTTTGCAACTCTTTCACATGACGTAGCTTGCCAGCTGTCTGAGGTTAACCATGTCCCAATGTCATTACTTAACATGTTTTAATGAAATGCAAATCGGAGCTGGTATAAAAATACGTAGAATCTCTACTTCTCCCAAATCTGCCAGACTCATTTTATAATATGAATACAAGTATGCTGAGATGTATTTCAATTTCAAAGGTCCAGAATGAACTTTTCAATATGATGTGTGATTAGATTAGAATCTGTCTATGTGCTAGTTAGTAATAAAAATGATATATTCTGTGTCTGAATAAAATCTTTCTGCAGCAGGA